TACTTTACTTACTACACACACACACACACACACACACACACACACACACACACACACACACAAACTATTTAAAATGTAAAGTCAATCAAGCACACATTCAGCAATAGGATCGGAAATAACTATAGTTATTTCAAGACAATTTGAAAAAGCAAAAATTATGTGGTTTTCCACTCCCATATACTAGAAAAATTATCCAGGCCAAATCAAGAATATACTGTATCCTCAGGAGTCTTGCATCTAGCACTGAAAGTCACTGGTAGCTGGGTGCCCAACTTCCTTGAGCTCCTTTGAAAATCCCAGTCGACAACTTTTATCTGTCATCTTTGCTCCAGTTTCAATAAATACATTTTGCTGAGCAGTCTGCATGGCCAAAAAATGGGGTTTTCACATTAACAGTAAAGTTTGTTCAGATCAAATGGACAATGGATCATATTCTTCACACCCCAGTGATGCACTAAAGAGCCTAACTTGGAAGATTAAAAATAATAAAATAAAGAACTGCATCTTTTTTTAGAGTTCCACATAACTTTTGTATTCAAACGGCCAACCAGAGGTCTAACTTGCATATGTACATGCAATTACCATGATTTTGTTGTGTGCAGTTCTAAATATCTGGGGCTCCCAGGCTCACAGCAGCCTGCCTGGCAGACAGGAAGCCCAGGGAACCCCAGGTCCTTGGCAGCCCACCGGGTGAGATGGGGAGGAGCCTGGAAGTCCTGGGAGTTCCAACTCTGCAGCAGCTTACCACGCAGGCTACCAAGGAGGCTAGGAGCCTGGGGAGTCCCAGCGCCCAAGCTCCCCATCAGGCAAACTGCTGAGGAACAGGGGAGATGGGCAGGTAGGCAAACTTTCGACTAATCGGCATTTTGTGATGGGAAAATGTTTCATCCAAATATTTCTGTCCAGCTGTAACAACAACAAAGCGTTGCCACTGATTTGTAGAGCAGGAACACATCTCTTGAGTACCATCTGCAGTAGATCTTTTCTCTGGTTAAACATCTAAATTAAGTCTGTGTTTAGGACAATCGTGTGCAATCATAGAGTCATAGACTACCAGGGTTGGAAGGGACCTCAGGAGGCTCATCTAGTCCAACCCCCTGCTCAAAGCAGGACCAATCCCCAGACAGATTTTTGCCCCAGATCCCTAAATGGCCCCCTCAAGGATTGAACTCACAACGCTGGGTTTAGCAGGCCAATGCTCAAACCACTGAGCTATCCCTCCCCCCATATATCTGAATTATCTTCTAATTCACTTTCAGTATATAAAAAGCACTTAAACAAGTGACCTGGAATTCATCCAATGATTTCTTCAACACCTCAACACTTTCAGATACTTCCTTCTCTTCAGAGTCCTTGGAAATGATTTCCTCCTGTAATAACTTCTCCTCTTCATGAATCTGCAGATTTTCATCAGTGATCTGTCTTATCTTTTCCATTAACTGACAAAAGGGTATGAAGGCAGAAGAAGAAATAAATGCACACAAAAATGGAAGACATTCCCATTTTCACTTGAAAAGAATGGCTTAGTAAATGTAAGCTTACATTTTTCACAACAATTATTATTTCAGTGTAAAATAATTGACTACAATAGTTTAGTGCTTTACTAATCACTAAGGCCCAGATCCTCAAAGATATTAGGTGCCTAACTCCCATTGACTTCTGGCAAAATACCTTGGAGTATCCTAAATAACTTTAAGGGTCTAGGCCCAAGAAATTAATTTTTATGAGTTGGTTTAAGGAATATCCCACCATCAAGGGGCCAATTTTCAAAAACAGCTTCTCAATGCACATGCACATTTTGTGCTCTGAAATAATTTTCACGCGCATATGAAAGAACATGTGTGCGAGCACACGCACGCACACACACACTCAGGATTGCTGCATGCAAACTGAGTAGTTTTAAAGTAGTTATCTGCCAAATCTGTATGCTGCTCAGTATTGACTTCAATGGATGCTTCAATTTAAATATGTGCTTAAGTGCTTTGCTGCATCAGGGCTAGAGCACTCAGCACCGTGCAGGATCAAGATGTCTCTAATGTGCAACCCAAATCATCTCCATTTTGTAGAACTTCCATGCAGTAAGTGTCAGCGGCAGATCCTGCTGACTGAAATGAAAGAGAAAATGAGCCTTTCCCCAGGTCATGGGCAAACTTTCAGAGTCTTGGAAATCTAGGATTCAAACTATAATTTGGTGTAAAATTTTACCCACCCTGACTTTCCTGAAGTGTGTTTTCCTATTAAAGCATACTTGCTCAGCCCCAAATTTGGAGGGGGAAATGATCACATTTCTTCTTAAATACAACAATGTTAGATATTGTTGGTTTTTCAAGTGAAATCAGTAAATCATTATATCTTAAACTATATCTTACTCAAGTGTTTAACTGAGATGGTTTCCTGAACCTAGATGAAGAAAGTGGTAGAAGGCAGAAAGCCAACTTCTGGAGCAGCAAAACATTTGAATTTAACAATTTTTTTAAAAGACGAGCTCCCTCTTTTCTTAATTGGTATTCCAGTGAAATAAGACTCAGATAGAACACCAGATCCATTTACCAGGACTGTACAATTTATCCATATCATATTCAACTCACCTCTCTCCCCACCTCCCTGCTCCAAAATTCTCCATTAAGGTACCTTAGCTCTGTACTCATGAGCATCTTTTGGACCAGCGTCATATGTCACCTTGTATAAGGTGCGTGCAGCACCTTGTCTGCATGGAAAACATTCCAGCAGTCTGGGACGGGTACAGAGACATTACAAAATTACCTTTGTTTTTCAATTGGCAAAATGAGTCTGTATCATTGGGAATGGGGGCCAACAAGATAAATGTGTGTAAACAAACACAATCAAAAAGATCTGCTCCCTCAGTATCAGAAGCCCACAAAATGTAAAAGCACCAAGAAGTTGTATTTGCTGTCACCTGAACTAACCTGTTGATTTGTTACAGTCTCTGGAATTTCTGCTTCTTGTGAATAGACGATTTCAATCATTTGCCTTTTGAAACACTCCAGCTAAAGCAGAGATTGATAAAGTAAACAAAATCACTAACAGCTAGAGTCAACAGAAACTCCATTTGGCTAGTCTGCGCTAGTCCTGAAAAGTCAATTAGGAGGGCACACCAGTTTAATAATTATGTTGTTCTATGAAAATTTTCAGGAATTATAGAGGGCAGGAATAGAAATTTTGAATTAATTTTGAGGGTATTCTTTGATCATTGACCTTGGAGCCCAGTGACCACGCTTGCCCTTGCCTTAGGCTATAAATTCATCTCACAATAGTCCTCAACAAACTACTACTACTAAACTCTACGTTTACACCACATTGATAGCATAACCCTGTAGTTAATAATATTATTCATGTTGTCTACTAAGTTAAAGGGTATAATCAACAGTGAGACACCAGGGGGATTGTTAAATCATTGTCAGTGAATTAAAAGTGATTCTTGAAAAAGGAATGCCATCTTTTGTAAGTACAGTATGTTGGAAGGAACGTGAAGAAAGGGTGCATAAAAATAAAAACATAAATACATTTAAAAAACCAGAATGAGGATCCCTATAATAATTCTTAAGCAAAGACAACAAACAAAATACAAAACAGAAGAAGAAAGAATTTAACTGCATAAGTAGTAAACACACAAACAAAAGGATCCACTGACGAACTACACTGGAAAGCTGATGTCCAAATCTGCTCCCATTAGAGTCAATACAAGTTTTGACATTAATTTTACTGTGAGCAGGATTGGGCCCACAGTAACAGATGTGGTAAAGGTCAAGTGCTAGATGGGGCTCTTAGTAGCCTCGTTAACATTCCTGCCCCAATCTGAAGGGAAGATTGAACTGAGTTCTCTGCCTCTGATCGAGTCACCTCTCTGGATACTACTAAAGCACCTCTGTCAGAGATGATTTATCTGTGAAACTCATAAAAATGTTTCTGGAGAGCAAAGGCACCAGATTGCATCACACGTCAGATATTTAAACAATGTCCCAAAGATCCCTCTACAAGGTCTTAACTCCCGGCCCTGCTAGCATTTCAAATTACACAAACCAGACAGATTGCTAGACTAGAACAGGTTGTTAGGCTGTATGGTCTCAGTGCGATTTTCTAAAGTAAAATTCCCATTGCCGGCACTGAAGGCTGTTGAAAATGCCACCCACTGTGTATTTTTCAGAAACAAATTATAAACATTTTGAGTGAAGTGAGCTTAACATAACTTTGTTTGGTAGGTGGTATTTGTCTCTTCCCTTGGCTGTGACAAAACATTACCCAGTCTCTCATCTAACGCATCTACAAACACACGCACTCCTGGGACAAGGAGTTTGTAATCTGTGACAATTGTGTGGGTTCCTGGAGTTAGACACTGGCAGGACTGCCCAGTGAAGTAGCTGTTACTAGGGGCCTGATATTTAACCTTTGCTCCACTAGTCACAAAATTAATGGCTAATTAGCATACACCTGTTCAAAAAGTTAACGCTATAGCAGAGTTTCTCTGACCAAGGTGAACAGGATTTCTTTGCCGAGAACCTTGCTAACAACCCTGGGCTATAGGCCACTGAGGAAGATGGGAGTGAGATGATTGAATAGTTTTATAACACTGTTCTAATAGGATTGTCAGACCAAAAATATATCTGTGTCCATATCAGACAGGAAACTTTGCTGAATCCTGCTAGCAACAATCTTGTTTAAAGATGGTGGTAGCTGGCTCCGTTCTGTAAGGAGAGGGCCCCAAACTAGTACATTAAACATTTAAAGGATTTGTAATTGCACCAGAGTAGATATTTAAACAAAAGTATTTTACAAAGGGGCTTGTTTTTCCTTGAAGTGAGTCAGGCAGCAGTTGTGGATGATTTATATAGAGACTGGGTGATGGAGAGGACAACAGAAAGAAGAAGGAGCATAAAATGCCTATGCATCATAAAACACTAGCCATCTGTAAATGAGATATGGAAACACACCCTGTAGCCATGATACACACAATTTGGAATTATCAATGTAGCAACCACAGAGTTCTGTGCTCCAGATTTATACTTCCTCTGTGGCACTCTGGCTTTCACTAGCTTTTATGGCTGTTACAAATCATTTTTTTCCTACAGAAACGCTCCTATTGTTAGCTACAATACAGAGCACAGAGTAATTTTCTTTTCAGCAACTCCTACCTGAGCTTTTGCCTGTTCCAAGTCAGCTTTAATGAGGCCTTCTCTGCGCCCCATCTCTTGTAACTGCAGACATTTCCTTTCACATTCTTTTTTCAGTTCCTCTTGAGCCTGAAACAATGAAAGCACTTGAATATCAAAGTGCTACCATATAATAATGCCATAAGCAGATCTATCACTGTTTCCTACGGAAATCTTATTAAAAACAGTAGAGTCCACATAGAACTTTGGGTCATGCAATGTCACTTTTTTTTTTTTAATTTTGCAGTGCTGGGTACTTACGCTGTTTAACATCCTAGCTATAGGTCATCGGTAGCTCATCAGTCATATAATTCTAGCCACGCTGCCCATGGTTTTAAATTAAGTCACTGGTACTGGAGCTTTTTGGGTCTCCTCTTGCACAAGTTAAAAGAGTTACTCAATGTGCTCCATTCTACAGCCAATCTATAAAGAAAGGATTCCAGTAGGCTCCCTGATTTATGAGTAATATATAGACAACTCCTTTGATTCTCGACAGTACCAATATACCTGATAAATCTAAAAAGGACATATCTAATTCTCCATGCATGTGTAATGTACCAGCTAGGGTGTGTGTGTGCACGCATGTCTTTCCTCTACTGAATGTAATCAGACCTATTCATGTACCTGCTAGTTTGTGATTATCATACCCTCTAGTGGCTGGCCAGCAAATATGTTCAGTGTTCTAATACTATGGCCAATTAACAGAAAATGTCATTCTTTAGGTCAGGTGGTAGACATCTGTTTTCTTGGTGCTACCCTGTTTCCCCGAAAATAAGACAGTGTCTTATATTAATTTTTGCTCCCAAAGATGCGCTAGGTCTTATTTTCAGGGGATGTCTTATTTTTCAATGAAGAAGAATACGGTACACATCGGTGGATGCCTTATTATCGGGGAGGTCTTATTATCGGGGGGATGCCTTATATTACAACGAGAGGCAAAACTGTAAGTAGGCCTTATTTTCGGAGGATGTCTTATTTTCGGGGAAACAGGGTAAGGGCTGTGCATGTGGTTTAAGCTGATGATCTTGGAACAAAGTACAGTTACAATTAACATCCACTGAATTGAAGGTAACAAAGTTGGAAACCACTGCTAGACACCAGAATTCTATCCCATTCATGGAAAGTAAGAATTCTTTATTGCAGAGCAAGCAGTGAGATCAAAGAAATAAAAATCTAGGCAATAGTCCTATAAACACATTAATGGGCCTTTCAAGGGAGCAGAATTATACTCAGGAACATCAGAATGGGTCTCTGCTTATCTGACTCCACAAGTTGCCGCCTCAGTCGCACAACAATGCTTTGGAAAAGGAAAGCATTATCAACAGAGTTGTAGAAGAAAGAAAACTGAGATGATATAGGGGACTATACCAACACACCACCCAAGAAACAGCAAGGAAGTGTAAAGGAGAGAAGAGTAAATTTAGAATCCTTTGTAATGGAGAATATCACGTAGCAGAAATATCATAAAAACATTTTACCTTAATTTTATTTTCATTCTAAAAATAAAAAATAAAATGAAATAGCTATTTCAAGAAGAAAAAAACAACACAGCTGCAAGCAGAGTACCTGGACATGTGCTGCATAGGCTAGCCCAAATCCTGAGCCGGCCTCTGCTGACACATTAGGAACAAAAGCAGGAAAAATGCTGCAGCAAGGTTGAGCAAAGCAGCAAAGAATTTCCTTGGGGGGCATCCACCCTTGTATGTGTGCTGGGATGAGTCCTAATCAGTGGGTCTCCACAAAGGAACGTGAAAGGGGGAAAGTGGGCATGTCACTCACAAATAAACAAGAAGCTGCATAGCCCAAAGTCAGAACAGGAACTGTGCTATGGTACTTACCACCACAGTGGAGTCAGGGAATCCATTCCCAATCTCAAGACTGTATTTGTCTAGAGTTTCACACTTTCCTTTTATTCAAAATTATAATTTCCTTTTCAGGATTGTACCTCATGAGAGAGAAGCTAGCAGGCAGAATGGAAATTTACCTTTGTTTTTTCTGCAAGCCTATTTGTTATGATTTCCTGTTCGGTGCAGTTCTTCTGCATTTCTCCCTGCAGCCTCTTCACTTGCAGCTCCAGCTCTCCAATGCGCTGTAAAAGTCCCAATAAAATGGAATCAACCACACAAAATAGTAAGTCACCCAATTTAATGAGATTATATTTCAATAAACAACCTAGTTTCATTACATTATCTTCAAGACCTTTTTTGTTTTATTAAACAATCTGAGTAATTCAGTTATTGCATATCCTAAACCTTTAACTAATAATACATTTGTCCTATCTATCATTTTAAAGATACTGGATTTACAGAGCTGGGTGAAACTAATCATTAGCTTATAATGTTTCATGTACAGTACAAAACAGACAGGTTTATGTTTTCATTTACCTCTGATGCTTTGCTCTAAACTCCAAATAAATGAAAAAAAAATACATTTACTAATCAATATAGTGATTGCCAATTGCAGTTTAAATCTTATTTCAAACAGAATTCCACTTCATAGAAAACTGCTATTAAAATATTTCCAGGAGTCAACATATCTCCAATCTGTTATGCAGTTGCATCCCTTTCCATGACAAGAACCAGATTATAAATACAATTCTTAACAAGTCTAGTTAATTATTCTCTTAGGGACGCGGAGTTTCAATTTGCTGCTTGCCTATATGCTAAAACAACCCAGGCAACTAAAAACTAAGAAAACTAACTCACATTTTGGTATGTAATTACTTCTCTCTCTCTGAATTCATGCTTCATTTCCTCTTTAATTCTAGAACACTGGAATGAACAGCAACCAAGGAAAAAATCATCAAGCAAAGAAGATATGATCATTTTTATATTATGCTTGAGCACACACCAAAATAGTATGGCACCACAGTAAAGGCCCAATACCACAAGTTGCTGAGTGTTCTCAACTCACAATAAAGGAAATGAGAGAAGGGGCGCTCAGCATCTTTTAGGATTGGACTTTTAGAAAAGCATTCCCTGCTTTAGAAAAGAAAAACAGAAAGACAATTAAGAGTTAACAAAGCTACGTAAGACAAACCCCTCGTGCTTTAGAAAAAGAGTGCTATTGAAAATGCAGAGGTAAGGAAGAAAGGAATATAAGAATTTTTTGAAACATACAAGATGATCGGAACTAGTATTAAACAGAAATTTTAAAACAAATACATGAAACAACACATGTATGTTCTGAGATAGTATTCTGAGCCTAGAGAAACTGGTTATATTTATAGGACCAAATGTTATCAGAAGTTCAGATAATAAGCCAGATTCTGACTGATGCGTATACAGACACACATCAGAAAGCCCCTGGTCATAGGGTAGTGCAGTGTGAAAGTTGTATGCCCTGACTCTGGCTCTTTCCAGAACTCATGAAGAGGCTTCTCTGAAAGCCTCCCAACAAGGGAAATGATGGAGGGAAGTTCTGGGATGGGACTATATGTAAGGACTCTATGTTTCCTGCATATACGCATATGCCTCCTCGCCTGGTAAAAGATATTACAGTCTCCCCACCCCCACTAGAGCTGGGTGAATACTTGATTTTTCAGTTCGACAGGCAAACCAAAAAATCCCAAACAACATTTGTGTCAGGTCAACATGAAATGACAATTTTTTGTTTTTTCTTGTTGAAATGAAAAACAAAAAATATTCATTTTGGGTAAAGCAAAAAATTTTACTTCGTTTTCAAGTGCTTTTAACCCGTTTGTTTTAGTGAAACATGTTTGAGCTACATTTTGAAACAAAGTTGTTTTGAAACAAAAAGTCTTTGACTGTTTCAGAATTTTCCCCCCATTTTTTTTTGCAGTCAAAACTATTAGCTGAATTTGACCCAATTTGGTGAACAGTTTTGACTCACCCAAAATTGCATTTTTCAATAAATAAACTGTTTGCCCCCCCCCCCCCCCAAAAAAAAAC